ATCCGACGCCCCCGCGTCGTCCAGGAGAGTCTGCCAATGTTCGAAGCGGGAGCCATTGGGGCCAGGTCCTGACCGCTTGGGCGTCTTGCGAATGGCCGCCCCTTACTTCGTGGATCAACTTGTTCATCGTCTGCTCGTCGACGCCTTGCCTGGGCACAGCCGCGGCAGGGGCACCTGGCGGGAAGAGGGCCTGCAATTCGGGCTGCTCGTTGGCCTCGGTCACCAGGTGACCAACCCAAGGGCCTTGGATACTCATCCGTCCGCCAAGAAAGCCTCGCCAGCCCGCGCCGTGTCCTTCGGGGTGTTCTGGCGCGGGCGCCCTGCAGGCCCCGCGGTTGCTGCTGCGTTGGCCTCCCGCCGCAAAGCGCCCCAACCCCCCCGCCAAGCCAAGCGGATCTGGCGAGTGAGGACCCGCGTGAGACCGCCTTGGTTCTTGGCGCCCCGTCCGCCTCGCACTCGAGTTCGGCTGGAAGAGAAGGATCCGGTCAAAGAAAATGCCATTTGCCAGCTCTCTCTGCCGCCACGTCTCCAGATCCCACGGCGCTCAGGAAAGCGGTCGCCACTGCTCCGCGCAAGAGGACCGGCGAGTGCGTGAGCGGCCCCAGCACGCGCCCCGGCGTGCGGACATCAGTGGCGAAATCGTCGTATGCGATGCCGCCCCACCAGCTCAAAGCTTCGAGGGTTTGCTCCCCTTTGTCTGGGTCCGCTTGCACGTCCTGGCCCGCGATACCATCAATGGTCTCCTCGTCGCCGTCATCTGGTCTGCGGCTGCGGGCTGCCCCCGGCCGCGCGGCTGGGGCGGCGCGCGGGCGTCGCCGCTTCGCCCTCTGATCGGCCAAGAACTCGTCTCGGGTCGGCCGCCCTGGCTGGTCGCAGTACGGACGTAGTTCTTCCAAACGTCCAGGCTGCCATGTCGCTGCGCCCTCAACCTCCTCGATGGGGCCGAGGCCTCCCTCCACGCATCCAGTGTGGAAATGCTGGCGGTGGGTTCCAGTCTGGCGCCGACGGTAAGCTCGCACATCACCCCTGAAGGATGGCTCACCGCAGGAGGGGCCGCAGCAGGCGCACGCACGTCGGTGCCCCATCACATCGACTTCCCACTCAGGCGGGGGCAGAGGAGGCGCGGGCTCCACAGCCATGGGGTCTACGGCTGGACCGGGGGCGTCTTCTGGTGGCTGCGCGGCCGCCGGTCCGTGGCGCGGCGGGAGGGCGTGCTGCAGCGTCGCTGTCTGCTGCCCCCGCCGGGAGGGCAGGGGAAACCCCCGCTCGGACGAGCAACACAGCCGTCTGCCGCCGTCTGAAGGGGAGCGGGGGCGGCGTCCATCGCGGGGCAGAGGCCCAATGCCGTGGCCAACGCCAACGTTTCGCACCATGGCCGGCTCAAGAGGAACTCAGAGTCCAGAGCCAGCGCGCTGGCACAAGCCAGGGTCCTCTGCAGAGGGGCGCCACGAACGACGGCACTGTAGTCGGGGAGTGTCGAAAAGGGGTGGCGCGGAAACACCAGGGCAGCGCGCGCCGGAGTGGAACGCACGGGGCCCGGGGCAGCGTGAAGCACGGCGCTGAGCCCCACGATGGCCGCGGGCGGCGGGGCCCAGGCCACAAACATGCGGCCAAGGCGGGCGCGGCGCCAGCGTCAGCAAGCCGTGCGCGAACTCCCGGATCGCGGCGGCGCTCGCCGGGGAAGCAGGCCGTGGGTCGCGCCTGTTCGGCGACGGCGCCGGAGCCGTCGTCGATGCCGAGGCCCAGAGAGGCCTGGCCAGCACAGCCACGCAGGCGATAGAGGGAACGCAGCTCAGCTGGGCACGTGCGGTATCCCGTTGGCGATGGCGGGAGCGAACGGCTCCGAGGGCAGGTGGGGATCCCGCGGACGACGCTCGCCGTCGCACCAGTCCTGTCAGAAGCACTGCTCCGAGACGCGGCCCTCGGTGCTGCCGTCGCGGATGCCGCCGTCGCCTTGGGCATCGCCCTCGTGGACCTCCGTACTGGAGCAGAGTCCTTCTGGGAAAAGCCCTAACCGACCACGGGCGAGAATAATACCCGGGGGATAGCAAAGTTCGGGGGTCTGGCGGGATAATCAATGGTTTTCCCGGGGAAGGTGAAGTTATGATGATGATGATGATGACGGCGACGACGACGACGACGACGAGGACGACGACGAGGACGACGACGACGACGACGACGACGACGACGACGACGACGACGACGATGATGATGATGATGATGATGATGATGATGATGATGATGATGATTATGATGATGATGATGATGATGATGATGATGATGATGATGATGATGATGATGATGATGATGATGATGATGATGATGATGATGATGATGATGATGATGATCCTGGGCGCTCGGTACAAGACTGTCGCGAGAGATCTCGATACTCGCGGTTAAAGGGTAAAGAAGCTGCGCCAATCCCCTCTTGGACCACGGGGTGCTCCCCCTCCGCCTCGGGTGCTCGCCGCCGGGGACGGCGGCGTGCCCCCTCCCCCCCCCCCAGGGAGAGCGGAGATTCAGATGGAGAGGAGATGGAGAGGAGTACAGAACCCTGAGATCCTGGCGTTGCACATACTTCCCCAGTCAGTGCTTGCACTGAAGGGGGTCCTAGCGGAAGTTGAAAGATGCACCTGTCTATTTCGCTACGGGCGTCTCCGCCAGGCTTTTGGGCCCCGGGACCTCACGGACCACCCGGGCACCAAGACGGTGCAGAAGCACGGGGGCCGGGGCTCTGGTGGTGGTTTCTCTTGGGATGTCGAATGTTCTCGCAACGTCAGATCTGACTGGATGGAGGGGAATACAGAGGAGCGAGCAAACGGCAAGGGGGGATGGGAGGGGAGGTGGATGGATACAGTGGAGGGTGGGAGGGGAGGGGGGGCACTGCTAGCCAGGTGCGCTCGCGTCATGTCTGACGTCCAACCTTCCCTCCCATCCCTACCATGGCGTATATCTCCTCTCTATTCGCAGTCGGATGTCGTAGCATGGCATAGCAGTATGTGGCATAGCATGGAGTTGAAGATCAACGCGTAGCATGACATAGCATGGCGTGGTGACGCCCCAAAGTGGGGGAAACTTCTGCGGCCCAAAAAATCAATGAATCGCCACCGAATGTGCAATCACTTCCGATGTTTTTTCAAGGGGGGGGGGCCAATTTCTAGATTTGGGGGCCTAGTCGGAACAACCGAAAATCGCACCGTGGCATGACACTGGAAATAATGACGCCAACGCTGCAGCGGGAGCACGATCCGGACCGAGCGGAAGCGCGGAAATGAGGCCAGCGCTGCAGCGGGAGCACGATCCGGAACGAGCGGAAGCGCAGAAATGCGCTCAGCGCTGCAACGTGAGCACGATCCGGAACGAGCGGAAGCCCGAACATGAGGCCAGCGCTCAGGCGGGAGCAACATTTTGAAAACAAGAAACACAAAAACGAAAACCCAGTTCCTGGGAGTCCCGTGTGTTTCAAAAAACAATGCAATGCGCGGAGGAGGGCCGGATACCTTCCAGACGTCATCAGGGGAGAGAGGGGAGTAGTATTCATATGTTGTAAATTGTCGAGGCAGGGGTAGGGGAGGGAGATACATGTAGAAGAATGGGATAGGGGAGCGGGAGGCGAGGGAGGCGAACGTAGGGAACAAAACCTTAGGAGGTCCAGGCGGGTTGGCGCCAACCCTAGCGGCGCCCCTGGTACCGACCCCATAGCGCGCTCCGGGGTCCAGTGCCGACACACTGAAGTCGTGCTGACGTCCGGCAGTTCATGCTTATGGCGCCCTTGTCTCATCGAGCATGGTGGGACGGATTTGGAGGCAGGAAGGGGGAGGGAGATGGGGGGAGATGGAGAGCGGGGGTGGTGTTAGGGGCGAGTCGTCCTGGCGGAGAGGGGGCGGGTGGAGGAGAGGGATCATTGGTCGTGGAGCTGGTCGTGTGTGGCCCCGCCCCGCAGGGCGAAACGCACCCCGCGTCGTGCGCCGTCACCCCACAGGGACTGGCAGCCATGGCCGAGAGAGAGGAGGGAGAGGAAGAGGGAGAAGGGGGGAGCGAGGGGAAGCGAGGGGGAGCGAGGAATAGAGAGGAGGAAGAGGAGGACGAGGAGGATGAGGCGGAGGGGGAGGAGCAGGAGCAGCACAGCAGCAGCAGCAGAGCAGCAGCAGCAGCAGCAGCAGAAGGGAATGAGGGACGAGAGAACACCATGCAAAGGCTGAGGGAGAGATGAAGGGGCGGGGAGAGATGGAGGGGTAGGGAGTGAGGGAAAGTTGGAGGGAGGAAGCGAGGAAGAGGGAAGAGACGCATAGAACAGGCCATAGCGAAACTAAACGGGCATAGCGTGAGTGAACCTCAGATTCATAGAGAGAGAGAGAGAGAGAGAAAAAAAAAAAAAAACATATATGACAAACTATCGCAAAGAGAAAAACACACCGAGAGCGAGAGAGAGAGAGAGGGAGAACAAACAGAAGAGACGGACATAATGAGAGGGTGAAAAGAGAGAGGGAGCGAGGGAGAGACGGAGTAAGAGGGGAGAGACGGAGGACGGGGGGGGGGACAGGGCGAAGGATGGGGGGTAGGGGGCGAGATGGGCGAGAAAAAAGGGAGGCAGGGGAGCGAGTGTGAGGGAGGCGCCGAGGACGAGGACCTCGGTCACGTCGGGGCCTCGGGGTGCCCCTGGGGGACCTCGGAGCAGCTCTCCGGACGTCTCCGCATGCGAGGCCAGAGCTGCCCGAAGGCAAAGACCCTCGACTCTCGAAGCCGCCGTGGGACCCTCGTAGACTGCCTTGGGGCCCTTTGGGGGGCTTCTTAGGCCGTCTTGGAACGATGCTAGGGCCCCCAGCTGCCTTCCCGGGTGCTGTTTAGGCGAAACTGGCTAGTATGCTAGACATGTAGACTTTCCTTTGGGAGGGGGCCTGTGGGCAGCGGGCGCAGGCTGGTCGGTGGTGGCAGCGGCGGCGGCGGCGGCGACGACGGACGACCCTGCTCGACGGCGGCACCGCCGGGGGCGCGCGGTCCAGCGCGGACGGCACGGCGGGGCTGCTGATGAAGCGCGCTTGGTCCAGCTGGGGAGGGAGGGGGGAGGGGAGGGGGGCGTCCAGGGAGGGGGGCGTCCACGAGGGTGGCGACCAGGGCATGGGCCCGAAGCACGTGCGCGGCCCAGACGCGGCCAAGGACATTACTGAAAAATAAAACAAAGAAAAGGGCCCAAATAACATACATAAGCAGCACCCCGCAATTGCGGATAAGAGGGGGCGGGCGCGGGCGACGCGGGCGTCGAGCCGGCGGACCTCGTGACCCTCACGAACGCAAGAGAAGCCTGGAACGAATACCAAAGAAGCCCGCCGCAGGCGCCGAAAATTTTGGGTGGGTCGCGGGGGGGTCGCGGGGTGGGTCGCGGGTGGGTTCGCGGGTGGGGTCGCTGTAGGTCGCGGGTGGGTCGCAGGTGGGTCGCGGGTGGGTCGGGGGGTGGGTCGCGGGCGGATCTCGGGGCCGTTCGCCAGTGGGTCGCGGGTGGGTCGCCGATGCAAAAGAAACCCGCCGCAGGCGGCGAAGTTTCGGCTTGTTCATTGAACGTAGTTTGGGTCGCGTGTGGGTCACGGGCGCTCCACCTCCACCTGGAAGGAATTCAAAAACAGCGCAGGCGCCGAAAATTTTTATTTGTACACTGAGCGCGGTTTGGGTCGCGGGTGGGTCGCAGGTTCTCCATCTGGAACGACCTGGAACGAATGCAAAAGAAACCCGCCGCAGGCGCCGTAAATTTTGGGTGGGTCGCGGGTGGGTCGCGGGTGGGTCGCGGGTGGTCGCGGGTGGGGTCCGGGTGGGTCTCGGGTGGGTCGCGGTGGTGGGTCGCGTTGTGAGGTGGCGGTTGGGCCGCGGCGTGGGGTCGCGGGTGGTCGCGGGGTGGGTCGCGGGTGGGTTGCGGGGTGGGTCGCGGTGGGTCGCGGGTTGTTGGGTCGCAGGTGTGGTCGAGGGTGGGTCGCGGGTGGATCGGGGTGGGTCGCGGGGTGGGTCTTGGGGTGGATGGGTCGCGGGCGGGTCGCGGGGTGGGTCGCGGGTGGGTCTTGGGGTGGGTCGCGGGCGGGTCGCGGGGTGGGTCGCGGGTGGGTCGCGGGTGGGTCGCGGGTGGGTCGCGGGGTGGGTCGCGGATGGGTCGCGGGGTGTGTCGCGGGTTGGGTCGCGGGTGGGTCGCGAGGTGGGTCGCGGGTGGGTCGCGGAGCGGGTCGCGGGTGGGACGGCGACAACAACAAACAACAAACAACAAACAACAAACAACAAACAACAAACAACAAGCAACAAACAACAAACAACAAACACCACACAACAAACAACAAACAGCAAACAACACACAACAAAGCACAACAACAACAACAACAACAACAACAACAACAACAACAACAACAACAAGAATCCGCATCGCGGAATTCCACTTCAGCCACGCACCCAGGGACAGTGAATGACCGCTCGGCTCACCCCCCTCACTCTGATTTACATCGGAGGTAGGGGGGTGAGATCGTAGTGAAACGGAGACCCCCCCCCGGGAAATCGGTTTCGGTTTCGTGTTCGTGTCGTGCGTGCGGGCAAGGCGAAGCTGCGCGTGATCCTCCTGTAGCTAGGCCGAAGTAGGAGCGAAAGTCCGTTCCCGTCCTCCGGTGGCTGGGAGGTCCCAGTTTGACTGGGCGGTGTCCCGGGTGTCCCGGGTGTCCCGGGTGTCAGTAGGAGCGAAAGTCCGTTTCCCGTCCGCCGGTGGCCGCGAGATGTTTTAGTTGGGCCGGGCGGTGTTTTTGGTGTCCCTGGTGTCCCGAGCGTCCCGGCGCTAACGCATGTCGCTAATGTCATACAGTAATTCATGTTGTTCGGCGCCTGCGGCGGGCTTTCTTATCCAATACAGCTTATCTTATCCATCCAATCCATCTTCACCTATCAAACCAATATTATTTTATCTTATCCAACCCATACTGTCCCATCTTATCTTATCCCACCCGATCCAATCCACCCAACCCAATCCATCAATTCATTTGTTTCTGCGCCTGCGGCAGGCCAATCCAACCCATCTTCTCTTCTCATGTACATTTCTTTCAATCCAAAGAGAGAGAGAGAGAGAGAGAGAGAGAGAGAGACAAAGAGAGAGACAGAGAGAAAGAGAGAGAGAGAGAGATGAGATCAAGGTGACAGGCTGGAGGTCAGTCAGGGTGGGCATTTGATCTCAATCCCCCCCAACCTCCTTATCGCCCGCAGGGCGGCATCATGGCCCCAAGCCATGAGACTCCCCCCCCAGTCACCCCCCCCTCTTGAAGAACACCACCGAGAAGGGATGGGGGGAGAGAGGAGGGGCAGGACGACGACAAGCGCCTGAAGGAGCAACGTCCATCCCAGAACAGTGAATACTGCAGATCCAGCACGCAATCCTCCTCCTCCTCCTCCTCCTCCTCCTCCTCCTCCTCCTCCTTCTCCTCCTCCGCTGGATCCTGCAGATCCAGCGCGCGACCGAAGATACGAGGCCCACCAACCCCGCCGCGAGAAAGCCAAAGGAACGTCCGAGCGGCGGCAGCTCCCCGATCAGACCCGACGACAAACTGCAGACACAGCCTGCACTGAAGCCCGCCGCGCTGAGCTAAAAGAAGGAAAAGAACATAAACAGAAACTGTTGGCGCTCCGCGCGGATTTCCTGGATCTGACCTGGACACCGCGCGCCAGGGGCGGCGCCGGAGGCGCCGCCAGGGGGTCCCAGCGCAGATCCAAGAAACCCGCGGGGAGTGCCAACAGTTTACGTAAATGACGTGTTTTCTTATTCGGGTTGCTAGGCAGGGGGGGCAGTTGATGTTGGTCGCCCTTCTTGATCTCAGAGGAATGAAAATCGGGTGTAGCATTCTCAAGGAGCATGGCCAATGCTCGAGCGTACTTGGCTCGTCCTCTCTTTCCTTCTTGCCATGATGGGAACGTATTGCAATCACTCCAGATGGAAGCCCTCACTCGCAGATGGTAGCAATCGCTTGATATGCTACTTCCGAAAACGACCACCCGAACAAAAACGTTAAACCGCATGATGTGTTCGTGCACTCACCTTGGCCATACCCATGCTCTACCGCCCAATACTGATGTACTGGCCTGCTCTTCTCCAATTGCGTACCTGCGCTGCGCTTCTGAGAGCAAACCAAAGTAAACATATCATATGAAGATACATGATGAACAATATCTGTCATTGTGGATATCGAAATGCACGCGCAAGGACTGTACCAAAGTGCCCGCGCCAAACGCGACATCTGTCAATGTGGGCATGCTGTCGGAAGGCAGGCGTTGCCGCCGATGCTCCACAGACACCAGACTCCATCGCGGCCCGCCGGTTGCTTTTGCTTCGAGATGTGTATGGGTGTTGGCGTAGGCTGGTGGTTTATGTGTCCATTTTTCCTGTGAAAATATAATCGACTCGGGTCAAACCAATGCCGTTCGAGCCTCGGCCGCCAAAGACGAACACGCCGCCTGACCTCCTCCGCCCCGACGCCCAAACCCACTCCTCGCTTCACTCATTGCACCCCCTTCCTCCTCCCTCCCCCGCCGTCCCCATCCACCCCTCCCTACCCTTCCCTGCTCCTCCCACGGCCGCCCATCTTCACCTCGTATAAGTGAATGAACGGCAGTAAAATCTCCCCGATCACCTCGAGGGAACTTGGCAGTGAGCAAACTCGTATCCTCTACTGGGCAACCCACGCTGCACGAGGCCACGGGTCCCCGGGGCAGAGTCCGGGGTGCAGCGGACACAAAGAAGAAGAGTCCAGAAGCGGAAGAACCACGGACGAAAAGAACGACGAAGAAGACTAATTAGACGGAAGAGGAAGTGGAGAAGGCAGAAGCAGAAAAGGAAGAAGGTGGCGTAGAGAACGAAGAAAACGAAAGGACTCAAGAAGAGCACGCCGACCCTCATCATATTCGTGACCGCAGCAAGCCATACGTCAAGGACAGACATCCTCCTAACGCTGCTCCTCCAACTCCTCGCCCTTCCTCCCCTGTACCTCCCATCTCTCCTCCCATACTTCTCTCCTCCTCCTCCTCCTCCTCCTCCTCCTCCTCCTGTTCCCTCCTCCTCTCCTCCTCCTCCTCCTCCTTTACGTCCTCCTCCTCCTCCTCCCTGGACCTCCTCCCTTCCTCCAACTCCTCTTCCTCCTCCTACTCCTCCTCCTCCTCCTCCTCCTCCTTCCTCCTTTTCCTGCCTGTTCCTTCCTCCTCCTCCTCCTCCTTCCTAACCTCCTCCTCCTCCTAGTCCTCCTCGTCATCCTCGTCCTCCTCCTCCTCCTCCTCCTCCTCCTCCTGTCCCTCCTCCTCCTCCTCCTCCTCCTCCTCCTCCTCGATCCTTCGATCCTTCGCTCCCTCGATCCTTCGCTCCTTCGACCCTCGAGCCGCCTGCCCGGGCGCGGCGGCGGGGCCGCACGCCGGCCTTGCCCTTGGCGCCCCTGCGTCGCCGGAGCGGCGCGCTGTTGCAGCCGGGCGCCTCTTCGGCAGGCGGTCGCGCGCGCGGGCGCGGGCGCGGGCGGGCGCGGGCGCGGGTCCCCCCCCCTTTGGGGGAAGGGCACAGGTCGGCGGCGAGCGAAGGGGGGGGGGGGGGGGGGATAACTTCGAGGTTCGAACTGCGGGCTTCGACGTTTTCGGGCGTGTTTTCGCAACTCCTGGGCGGGTTGCCGCCCCCGGGATGCGTTCCAGCGGCTGCGCCTCGCCGAGGGCGTTCCGGGAGAGCCTGGATGGTCCCGAACGCACGCCGGAAACCCGAGGTATGACCCGAAAACCACATTCGGTGGCGAGCGAGGGGGGGGAAGTGAGAAGGAGCAAGCCTTCTCAGACGGTTCGAAGATCCCCCGGCCTTGTGAGAAGTGTTCTAATAACTACCTTGCCTGGAGATCCAAAAAACTTCTCAGAAGGCGCTGGGGCTTCTGAGAAGTCCCGCCGCCTTCTGAGAAGGCCGTTTCCTTCTCACTTTCCCCCCTGGCTCGCCGCCGACCAGGGATGGGCCTCGCTGACCGTGCATCGTTGAGCGGAGCGCACGGCGAAGAGAACACAGCTGGGATCAAGTGTCTGTTGCTTTTCTGGGCCTAGAGTCGGGGATAACTGAAAAAAACGCGAGAAACCGCAAGACACGTCCGAGGGCCACATGGACACATGAATGTAGAAGGCATGAGTCGCGAAAAACAAGGCACAAGGGTATCCTTGATTTGGCAGGGTCGACCTAGTAATCAACCTCGACTGTAGGGGTGAGCCGTAGGTAAGAGTCAACGTGGAATAAACTGGCCGAGGGGGAGGAGGCACTAGGCGGAGGTTCCACTGGGCCTCTGGGGAAGGCTGGGGAGAGGAGGAGGGGGGGTGTAGGGAGGGGGGGGGGGGCGGGCGCGGTGCGACGCGGAATAATAAAGTGATCGGGGCGGAAGGGGGGCACTGGCCGGAAAGTTATACTGGGCTGTTGGAGCACGCTGAGGGGAGTTGTGAGGGGGGCGGGCAGGGAGGGGGGGGGGGCGCGCGGTGCGACGCGGAATAAAGTGGTCGGAGCTCTAGACACCCTGTGCAAGAGAATAGTCAGGGCAGAGAGCCACGGGACGGGCGCCCACTGGGGCGCTGGGGACGCGGAGGGGTGGGGGAGGTGGTGTGCGTCGCGACGCGGAACAAAATGCTCGGGGCGGAGGGGACACGGGGCGGAGCACTGGGGCGCTGGGGAAGCGGAGGGGCTCGGGGCAGAGGGCCACGGGGCGGGGGTCCCACTCTGGCGCTGGGGACGCGGGGGAGGGGGAGGTGGTGTGCGTCGCGACGCGGAATACGTTGTTGGGGCGGAGGGCGGCAGGCTCGGGCCGACTGGGGGTGTGGGGACGCGTGGGGGGGAGGGGGGGAGGTGGTTTGTGCGTCGCGACGCGGAAGAAAACCTTCGTGGCGGAGGGGGCTGTGGGCGGGGCTCTATTGGAGCGCTGGGGACGCGGGGGGGCTCGGGGTGACTGGGCTGGGCTCCTCCGGGGGCGCTGGGGACGCAGGGTGGGGGGGGAGGATGGGGGAGTGGAGGTGTGTGTGTGCGTCGCGACGCAGAATAAAATGGTCGGGGCGGAGGGGGCACTGGGCGGGGCTTGGGGCAGAGGCCCACGGGGCGGGGGTCCAACTGGGGCGCTGGGGACGGGGGGAGGAAGGTGGGGGAGGTAGTGTGCGTCGCGACGCGGAATAAAGCGTTCGTGGCGGACGCGGCAGTGGGCGGACCTCTCGCTGGGGCGCTGGGGACGCGGGGGGGGGCTCGGGGCAGAGAGCCACGGCGCGGGGTCCCACTCTGGCGCTGGGGACGCGGGGGGCCGGGAGGTCCCACTGGGACGCTAGGGACGTGGGGGGGGGAGGGAGGTGGCGTGCGCCGCGACGCGGAATACATTGTCGGGGCGGAGGGGGCACGGGGCGGAGCTCCCACTGGGGCGCTGGGGACGCGGGGAGGAAGGGGGGGGATGTGGTGTGCGTCGCGACGCGGAATAAAGCGTTCGTGGCGGAGGGGGCAATGGGCGGGGCCCCCACTGGGGCGCTGGGGGAAGAGGCCAACATCATTGAAACTCTTCGGCTTTGTAGGATCATGGCATTTGCTCAGAATCGGCTTCCCGGCGGCCCAGGGCGGCCCCTGAGGCCACCAGGATGGCCCCAAGAGCGCCCAAGAGGCCACAAAGATGGAACCAAGAGCGCCGAGTAGGCCCCCAAGACGGCCCCGAGAGGGCCCCAAGACGGCCAAGGAGACCTCAAGACACCCATGATCTTTTCCAAGACGGCCCTGAAATGCCCTACAAGGGCCACACGTCGGCCCAGAGAAACCCCCAAGACGGCTTCCGACGGCGTCAGACGGCCCAGGAACACACTCAGACTGCAAAAGAACCTCCCGAGGAGCCTCCGAAGACCCCCCAGAGGCCCACGGAAGCCCGCAAGAGTCCTGCCAGAGGCACGGAAGAAGCTCTCAAGAGGCCCCAAGAGTGCCACGAGTGGCTCCCAAGAGGCCTCCTCCTCCTATTTTCCCTCTCCTGTCTCTCTTTCTCTTGTCCTTTCTCCCCCACGTGTTCCCTGAAGGATTTCCACAACAGCTGGGCGAATCCATAGTCTAGCTTCACCGAGCTCTGGCCGCAACGTTCGGCCACGTATACTTTTCCTAAAGGCAAGGGGCGGCTGTGATTCGCCGTAGGCGTCTTAGATCATAAAGCCACATGTCAAGCAATAAGTGTTGCACTCGGCCCTGCTTCATTTGGACATGATGGAATGCTGTCAAACTCTAGTTGCCGTCCTCCGACGTTTTCGAATGAATTTGAACACACTCTGACATTTCCGCTTGGACCCATCCCGTTTGGACGTTCGCAGGGAGGCTCCAGGGCGAAACTGGAGCTTACCAGGCCAGGCTGAGCCAGCGTCCAGGATAGAACATCGCCCCGACCCCCAGGGATCGAGGATCCTCGCACCCGGGCGTCGAGAGAAATCATGATTGCACTTTTCTCTACGTTTCAAGACTGTGTCAGCCGTTTCCTTGCCCCAGGGCCGCAAAAGAACGGCTCAGGATGAGAAGCCCGCCTGCGGGAAGGGGTCGAGATCCCCCAGGGACTAAGCCACAAAAGAAATGCGACGTCGGAGAATATATACACGTCGTTCATTTCTAATCGTTCTCATTTCTAAATGTGATCGTTTCTAATTGTTCCTGGCCCCCTAGTGGCCAGAAAGAGGCCCAGGATAGAACAATTCGAAGTGAAAGGATCATGGCCCCCTAAAAAATCAAAGAACTTTCGAAGAGTTAGAAAAGAGCAATGTGTACGCGTCGAGCCAGCTTTTGTTCCGTTTCTGATGCCTTTTCGTACCTCTGGGGGGCCTGGGGGGGTCCACCACGAGTGACTGCAGTCGAGTTTGATTGGAGGGGACACGCGAAAGGACCTGAGACCCTTCCGAGGGCCACATTACCCGAGGAATGCGGAGGACACTAGCAACGAAACGCAGGACACGAGGGCACTCTTGACTCGCAGGGGACGAACTACTAATCAAACTTCATTGAATGGGGCGTCGCCTTCTTTCCCTCTATTCGTGCTATCTCTCTTTCTCTTTCTCTCTCTCTCTCTCTTTCCTTGTCGTCCCTATCTCCTCCCCCCTCCCCTCCTGCAACGCAGCCTTAACGCACACTTGTCCTGATCGCATGTTTCTCGTATCAGTCCGTGCCCCGCATGGTGGCCGAACCCTGTTCACAGGAGAACCTAGCATCGAATCGACGAGTCGGATCGGCGAGGATCGGCGGGAATCGGCAGCCGAGTCGGGAAAAGTCGAATCGGCGGAAATCAGCAGGCTAGTAAGTATGCCTCCCGTACGACATCGGAGCCCAGATCGGAAACAAACGTTGAATCGAATCGGAATCGGAAGCCTCTGAAGTCGAATCGAATCGAACAGAATCGGAGGACTCGAAATGAGCCCTGTGTTCTGGACGAGCGCGTTTCACTACTCGCAGAGTAGTCACTGCTCGCAAATGGCCTGGGGATCCGCCGCGGGGGATCTGCGGACAACACATATGACGTCGCGGAGGGGGGGGGCATAGCGGGCATATGATTGACGTGTCCTCGGATACGTCTTCGAGCGGGCACTTCGGGCGTCCTGGGACAGAGGAGACTACGTCCGAAGCGGGTCTTCGGAACGCTTGCGAACTGGCACGCTGCGGGCGGGCGCTGCGCTTCCAGGAGAGGAGGAGGAGGGAGGGGAGTGAGGAGGAGGAGGAAGGAGGAAGGTAGGAGGAGGAGGGGAGGAGGAAGGAGGAGGAGGAGGCGGAGGGGGGAGTGGGGAGGGAGGAGGAGAAGGAGGAGAGGTGGAGGAGATGGAGGAGGAGGATGCACAGCTTGTGGCCACAGCGCTCGGCGAGGTCCGCGGCGGACCCGGACCGACCAGTGGGGCCGCCGGGCCGGCAGCTTGGCGCGCCCCACCGCAGGCGCCCGCCGCGGCGCCGGCCGGGGATTTTTGGAGTTGGCAAGGGGCGCCCTCGAGCGCGGCCGGCCCAGCGAACGCTGGGAGAGGAGGAGGAGGAGGAGGAGGGGAGGAGGAGGAGGAGAGGAGTAGGAAGGAGGGAAGAGGAGGAGGAAGGAGGGGGAGGAGGAGGGGGGGGAGGTAGGCTGTTCTGCTGAGGAGGATGGGGGAGGAGGAGGAGGAGGGGGAGGAGGAGCAGGAGCCGAGAAAGCGAAGATAGCAGGTGGAGGAGGAGGAGGAGGTAAGGAGGAGGAGGAGGGGGGAGGATGGCAGGAGGAGGGAGGTAAGGAACAGGAGGAGGAAGAAGGAGGAGGGGGGAGGGGGGAGGAGGAGAGAGGGAGGAGTCAGGTGGGGAAGGAGGGGAGGGGGAGGAGGAGGAGGAGGGGGAGGAGGAGATGGAGGAGGAGGAAGAGGAGGAGGAGGAGGAGGAGGAGGAGAAATAGGAGGAGGAGGAGGAGGAGGAGGAGGAGGAGGAGGAGGAGGAGCAGGCACCTTCGGACGTCTGCGGACAAAGACCACGTCGAAGCGGGTCTTCGGACGCCTGCGAGCAGGCACGCTGCGAGCAGTGGCACAGCGCTCGACCCGAACATATAGTATGGGACGCACAGAGACATACTAATACTGTATGTCCGCCTTGGGGGCAGGCGTCCGACCCGAACATATAGTATACCCATCTTGTAGTATATCGTTTCTCGAGCGGTGTGGCCAGAAAGCGCCCGCCAGGACGCATATACTACAAGATTTCTCGGTGCGCACGTCGCCCCTGGGGGGGCGACGAACACATAGTATAAGTATGTTGGGGGGATGCCGAGCGGACCCCGGACCGACCAGTGGGGCGGCAGGCCCCCCGCAGGCGCTGCGGCGCTGCCGGGAGTGCTGCAGGGGCGCCCTCGGGCGCCCCCGGCCAGCCCAGCGAACCGCTGGGCGGAAGGAGGAGGGAGGCGGAGGAGGAGGGAAGGAGCAGGAGGAGCCCCCCCCCCCCCCCCCCCCCCCCCGCGGAGGAGGAGGGCTAGGAGGCGGAGGAGGAGGGAGGAGGTAGGGGTGAGGAGGGTTAGGGGGTGAGGGGGAGGAGGAGAGCAGGAGGGAGGAGGGAAGAGAGGAGGAGGAGGAGGAGGAGGAGGAGGAGGAGGAGGAGGAGGAGGAGGAGGAGAGGGAGGAGGGGGAGGGGGGGAGGGGAGGAGGAGGGGGAGGGGGAGGAGGGTAGGAGGAGGAGGAGGAGGAGGAGGGAGGAGGAGGAGGAGGAGCCAGGTGAGGAGCAGGCAGAGGGAGGAGGAGGGAGAAGGATGAAAGGAGGAGGAGAGGAGGAGGATGGGGGAGGAGGGGAGGGGGAGGGGGAGGGGGGAGGAGGAGGGAGGAGAAGGAGGGAGGAGGAGGAGGGGAGCAGCGAGGAGCAGGGAAGGAGGAGGAGGGGGGAGGAGGAGGGAAAGGGAGGAGGAGGAGGGAGGAGGAGGCAGGGGAGGAGGTGGAGGCAGGCGGGAGGAGGAGGGGAGGAGGGAGGGAGGAGGAGGGAGGGAGGAGGAGGGTCTTTTGGGGGGCCGAGGCGCGGTCCGGAGGGAGTGTACCCCTCGGTCGAAAGGAGCAGGCAGAAGCAGGCAGCAGGGAGGCGTTGGGAAGCGGAATGGTTGTCCGCCCGGCCCCCGTACAGGAGGGCGGACAGGGGAAGCCACTGGATCATTGGAGTCGGAGGGCGCTCAAGGTAGATGGGAATCCAGGGAGTCCAAAACTACCTGGTTTCAACGACCGATGAGTAAGGGTAACTCGGGCCTGTCCCCCTACAGGGGGCTTTTGGACGAAAAATAAAAATTGTGTCAAGCAAAGTCAAAAGGTAGTCCCCAGACTATTGTTCTACTCTTTTCGAATCTTCCTCCTGTAGAAAGACAGGCCCGACTTACGGGTAAGTCCGTACGGAGTGCCGGGAGCCCTTCGCCCCTCCCGAGCCTGCGGCCCCACCCTGGCGTCGCACCTCGTGCCTGCGCCAAAGTGAGGCCTTCGGGTCGGGTTGGGGTGGTTTGGCGGGTGGTGATTCCTTGGGCGATCGAAATGTTATCTATGCCCCTGCCCGCGTCCCGACCCCCACGAGGAGCTAGAGCGGGGATACGGTAGGTTCGTGCGGCGTCGGCGCGCGCAAAGATTTTTGACACCGCGTCGATTGTTCAACCTCGAATCGATCGCGGCCCCGATCGTTCAAGGTTGAATTCGGTCGGGTCCAGCGACGTTGCCGCGTCCATCGATGCTTCCGCGTCGCAGAAATCAATCCTGAACGAGAAGGGTGGGCGCTGGGGCTCTTGTGGCTATCTTGGGCGATGCCGCAGCCGTCTTGCGGCGCTAGACCGGAAGGCCTGCGGAGGTGGTCGAGCGCACGTGGCCCTTCCTGGGGCTCCTCCCTCGTCTCCCTCCCCCCCAGGGCCCCTGCATCTCCTCCGGCTCCCAGCGCAGGCTCCCCAGACACCGGGGGCCGAATTTGACACGCAGGGGCGGCGCGCCAAAAAGCTACACTCCGCGGCTCCACTGACGGCAGTGCCTGACTCATCAGGGCAGGCCTTCCGGATTTCCGACGGGGGGGGAGGGTGGGGGGGGCGACTAGCCATGAGCTTAGACAGCACCTTCCTGCCCCAGTCCGTGGGGGGCGGGACCCCTTCTGCTCATCGGTATTCTTCTCCTGATACCTAGACTCCTCATCCGCTGCATCCCTCTCCTCCTCCTCCTGCCCCTCCTCCTTCTCCTCCTACTGCAGCAGGAAGGTGTGCGAGTTGAGCAAAAATCGCGCACTCCCTCCTCCCCCCTTCCCAGCCCCACCCCTCTCCTTTTCTCCTCCCTCTTTCGCTCCGTCACCTACTTCTTTTGGTGTCGCATCTCGTTCCCGTCCTCCTCCTCCTCCTCCTCCTCCTCCTCCTCCTCCTCCTCCTCCTCCTCCGCCACGCCCTCCTCCTTGTAACCCCTTATCCTCCATACTCATCCGCCTCAGCCTCATAACCTCCGTGCGTGTGTTCCGTTGCTACGCATGCCCGTCATCATCACCCTCCCTCCCTCCCTCACTCCCTCTCTCCTTGGTTTCTCCTCTATCCCGCCCTGCTCGCGTCGACCCCTCCCTCCTCCTCCCCCTCCTCCCTCCTCCTCCTCCTCCTCCTCATCATCATCATCATCATCATCATCATCATGATCACCATCACCATCATCATCACCATCATCATCATCATCATCATCATCATCATCAGCAGCAGCAGCATCATCATCATCGTTGTCATCAGCATCAGCATCATCATCAGCAGCACCATCATCATCAGCATCAGCATCAGCATCAGCATCAGCATCATCATCATCAGCATCATCATCATCATCATCATCATCATCATCATCATCATCATCATCATCAGCATCATCATCATCATCATCATTAGCATCATCATGATCAGCATCATTAGCATCATCAGCATAATCGTCGTCAGCAGTATCAGCATCGTCGTCATCGTCATCGTCGTCATAATCAGCATCGTCGTCGTCATCATATCCATCCTCAATATCATCATCAGCATCGCAATCATCATCGTCATCAGCATCATCATCAGCATCATCATCCGCATCATCATCGTCATCCTCGGGATCAGTTTCATCCTCATCATTAGCAGCATCATCAACATCATCAGCATCATCGTCAACACCATCATCACCATCATCAGCAGCATCAGCATCATCAACATCAACGTCAACATCTACATCATCATCATCATCATCATCATCATCATCATCAGCATCATCATCATCATCATCATCATCATCATCATCATCATCATCATCATCATCATCATCATCACCATCATCATCCACCACCCCCTCCTTCCTCTTTGTTGGGCTGTGGTTGGTCTCCCGGATAGTTCGAGGTTTCATGGCGACGCGTCCAGGGCTGCTCCCGTGGATCAGGGCGATGGCATGGGCTGTCGCGAGTGAAGATCCCCCTTCCGATTCAGGATGTGTCATCTTCGGGAACCTCGTCTGTCACGTCGCGGCAGCTATCCGCGTCGAATCCGCGTCGAACCCGTCGAGCTGTCTGCCAAAACCATGTCGAACCCACGTCGACCTCGCTTCGAATGCACGTCGGAGTACCAAAACGCACCGCCATTGAAACGACATGAAAGGCTCCACGAAGATATGCGGTAAGATTCAGCTTCGCTATCTCAGACCCTGCCTGGGGCCTCGACATACAACGTCCCCAGGGGTGCCAGCCGACCAACCAGGTGACCGATCAAGCAGGTTCCTAACACACCCTCCCTATCGCTCGCTCTTCCTCGCTCCCCCCCTTCCCCTTTCATCCCCTCTCTCTCCATCCCTCTCCATGCTCGAACATCTGCCGACCTCCCTCCCGCCAATCAGGCGACGAACTGCTGCACCCTCCCTCACGCTCGCCCCCCTCGCTGCCCCCCTCCCCCCTCCAAACCCCCCCTCTCGATCCCTCCCTGCATCCTCGAGCATCTGCGGACCTTCCCCCAGCCCCCCTCCGCCCCCCCCCCGCCGATCTGGCGGCGAACCGCCGCTGCATCCCCTCTCCCCCCGCGCGCCCTCCCTCGCTCGCTCCCTCTCGCCCTCGCCGGCCCCCATCCCTCGCGCATCCGTCTCCCGCCCTTCCCCGGCCGGGCACCTGGCTCTGGCCCAAGCCTTGTTCTCGCTGTCGGTGCAGTCATCTATATTGTCTGCCGTTGTCGTTCGTTCACCGTTGTCGTTGATCGTGTCGTTACCGATTATCGTGATCGTTGATCGCCATCGTTGATCGCTATCGTTTGTCGCTGGTCGCTGTCGTTGATCGCTTGTCCTCGTTGTCGGAGCAGCAATGCCTCGATGATCGCTATCGCTTACCGTTGTCGTTCATCGCGCCGTCATCGCCTGTCGTGATCGCCACTCGAGGCCTCGCTCCTGCCTCGTGGATTTTTCTGCCGCTCCGCGAACGGGCCGCTCCCGCTCCCATGTCCCCCGGGGCGCCTCTGGCGCCCTTGCCGCCGAGAAGGTCGCCTCTCGGGGGAGGATCCGCGGTCTTGGGGGCCAGGAGGGGCTGGCGGAGACGAGCGGGAAGTGGAGAGCGAAGAGACGAGAGCGACGGGAGGGGGAGGATCCGCGGGCTTGGGGGCCAGGGGGGGCCGGTGGAGACGAGCGGGAAGTGGAGAGCGAAGAGGCGCGAGGGACGGGAGGGGGAGGATCCACGGGCTTGGGGGCCAGGAGGGGCTGGCGGAGACGAGCGGGAGGCGGAGAGCGAAGAGGCGCGAGGGACGGGAGGGGGTGGGGCAGGGTTGGATCGATCGATCGGGCAGGGAGGAGGGGGAGGCGCGAGGGGGGCAGCGAAGGGAGGCACGGCTTGCCGGAGGAACGGGAGCAACGAGGCAAGACGAGAGGGACGCGATGACGCATAATGGAGGGGATGGCGTCATGCTTTACATAAACACCGCTTTCACTTCACAACGCAGCTACCAGAAATCTACACAGCCCGTGCAATGATCATTCCCGATCCGGAACCAGCTTCGATCGAACAGTCCAATCATGCCATCCACTCGTTGATGATATTCACCGCACGTTACGATCTCGTTCCGACGTACGCAGGGCAATGGAAAAAGGGAATGCACCGCAGGTCTCTCTTTCTCTCTCTCTCTCTCTCTCCTTTATCTCGCTCTCTCGCTCTCTCTCTCTCTCTCTCTCTCTCCCTCTCTCTATATCTAGATGTCTACATACGTACTGGGACCACGCGCGCGCTTCGCGCGCGCTTGGGTTCTAGCAAGTCCTAGTTGGCGTCTAGGGTGCCCTGCACTGGGGGGCAGATTGTCACGCGCGTCGCGCCCCCGAAGGAGATCCGCCTGCGGCCCCGGAGGCAGGCTTGGCCAGCGTTCCTCAAGCCCCTGTCGGCGCACCCTCCGCAGGGATCGCGCCTTACAGGGAAATCCACCTACGTCGCCAAAGATAAGGCTCGAATAGTGAGGGAAATCCACCTACGTCCCCAGAGACAAGGCTCGAATAGTGGCGCGCCCCTCACGCGGAACGTGCCCCGCCAATAGCTGGATCTGCGGCATCAGAGTGAAGCTTCATAGCGTCGCCCCGCTCACTTCGGCACACCTCTCACACGGATCGTGGCCCGCAAAGGGTTCCACGGACGGCCCCAGAGACAATGCTCACATCACGTCCTCCCGTCTACGTCAGCACGCTTCTCACACGGTGCGTGGCCCACAGAGATCTCCAACTACGGCCCCAACGGCAGGGCTCCCACCGCGCCCCCCCCCCTGGCCCCTGGCCATTGCGGCACGCCCCATCACGCGGATCGAACCTGCAAGGAGCGCCACCTAAAGGCCCAGAGGCAAGGTTCGTACGACGCTCCCCCGCCCATGTCGGCAGACCCGTCACGCGAACCATGCCCCAGAAGGCGCTCCACCTTTCGCACCAATGGACAACTTCGCATGGCGTCCCCCCGCCCGCTTTTCGGAACATGCCTCGCACGGGTCGTGACTGGAGGACGTCCTCCTGTGGCGTCAGTGGGGGCATTCGCGCGGGGGCATCCGAATTATTCGGCGCACCCGTCACGCGGATCGTGCCCTACAAGAGGTTCAGGAGTTCAGCACACCCGTGCACGCGTGCTCCGCAGCAGCCATCCACCCGCACTGCCACGCGGCGCGCAGCGTATGAAGAGAGACCCGCGCCCGGCGCTGTACATGGCTGCACAGGGATGGGTCCGTCGCCAAACCAATTGCTTGCTTATCTATGGCCTTCGGCCCACACCACAACTGCACCTGAGTTTTGGGCAGGATGATCCTTGGGTACCTATGATTCGGGGTCTCTTGGCATGTTTCTCGGACGCCTCGTGGAGCGAGTGTTGAAGCTTCTTGTGGCCTCTGAGGGGCCATGTGGGACGAGGGCCTTTCGGGGTATCTTCGGGGGCCCTTGGGGGCCTCTTGGGGGCCTGCTGCGGCCTCGGGGGGCAACTCGTGGCGGAGGGCTCGAAACGTCACTTGGAGTTCCCCCTCTTGGACTCCTCTTGGAGCCCTCTTGGGCCGTCTTATTTTTTGTTCAACAACTAGCGCACCGAAGGAAACCTAGATGTTCGCTGGCTGCAGAAGCGGCGCCCGTAAATGGCACGCAACACAGGAAAACGTGGCGCTGTCGAGAAGCCACCTCAGCAGGCCGACCTACTGGCCCGAAGAGCGCTCGGGATCTCACCACGGTCCGAAGAAGCCGTTGGCGTTCGCGAGCACCGAGCCGAAGAAGAGGATGGTGATCGAGATCACGTAGTTGTTCCCGTCCACGCCCCCCAAGCCCACGGGCGGCGGGGGCGTGGTCGTCACCGGCGGGCCGCCGAAAAAATGCATCTCCACGGCGGGAGCACGTTGCACCGTCCGGAGGCCCGCTGAGGCCGGGGACGAGGCGCCGACGAAGGACAGCACGAGGGAGCCCACCGACAGAGCGGCGAGGGCGGCGACAGCGCAAGCGATCAGCAGGGACGCGGAGCGGGCCATTGCGGCAGATACGCGCCGAGCGCGGCACGGGGCTCTGCTTCAAAGAGATCGCCTGGGAGATGCTTCGACCAAAATGGCTACGGAAGAGCCCTCTTGGGCCGTCTTGGGCGCTTCTTGGACCGTCGTGTGGCTCTCGTGGGCCGTCCCGGGGCTCTCTTGGAGGCCTCTTGGGCCGTATTGGGGCGATGTGTAGGGCCTCTTGGGCCGTTTTGGACGTTGTTAAGAACAAAGGGCAAATATGCTAAAAATGCACTCTCCCCCCAGGAAAGGAAACAATTTTGGCCTCCCAGGGCCCTCTCGGGGCAAATCTTGGAGCCTTCGACGTCTTCGGGGCCCCTCAAGTCGTTTTGACACAATATTCGGGCGCCTTCGGCCTTGTCAGGCCTCTCTGGCTGCCTTCTGGTGGCCCCCAGCACTGTTTTGAGCGGGGGAGGAGCCCAGAGGCCCAGGAAGGGGTCCAACACATAGTGGGGGTAGGGCTATCTGGTGGATTGTTTTAGCGTGTTCGGAGCCTTGGGGCTCCATCCTGGTTGTCTGGGGCCATCTTCGGCTTTCCTTGGGCCGTGCAGGAAGTGGCGTTGGACAGCTCGGTACTGTCGTGGCTATCGCGAGGTGAGCGTGTGGGATCTGTGAGCCGTGGTGTTTCTCGCTTGGGGATTGTCTTTTGGGACCCTCGTGTGGCTCGCTTGGGGACGGTCTGGGGCTACATGTAGAAGGCTGCGCAATCAGAATGCCGCCACCGTGCCTGGGTTGTGGCTCTCTTGGGAAGCCTTGTTGGTGAGCGTCTTGGAACCAGTGCGCCTCTGAGGGGACGTTTTGGGGGCCTCTTGGAAGTTACCCTGGGTGTCCCAGGGGCATCTTGGGGGCTTCTTGGGGGGGCCTGCTGGCACTCGGGGGCCCCGTTGGGGCGGAAGGCTCGACATGTGAGTTCGAATCCTCCTGTTGAGCCCCTCTGAGTGCCCTGTCGGGGTTCTCTTGGGTCGTCTTCCGCGCATCGTGGGCCGTCTTCAGCCCTTGTTGAGCAGCTTTGATGCCTCACAAGTTGCCTATGTGACCGTCTTGGGGCGATCTTGAGGAAGCAGTTGGGTCGTGTCACTTAGATGACCTTGATCGTGTTTCAAGAACCTGTCACACTAACATGTGTCCAAAGCCCGACTTCTCATCCTCCTTGCCATCGTCCGTTCCTTCCCTTCTTTCCTGCCTCCATTTCCTCCTCCTCGTCTACCTCGTGCCGTATTCCTCCTCCCTCTCCTCATCCTCCTCATCCTCCGCATCCTCCTCCTCCTCCGACCCCAAGATGGTCCCAGGAGGTCGAGCATGGCTCAAGATAGCCTCCATCTGACCTCCAAGAAGCCTGCAGGCAGCCTCCGAGAGCCCCTAGCCGAGCATGGCTCAATCTAGCTTCCAGGAGGCCTCAAGAAAGCCTTCGATCGCCTCTGGATGGGCTGGTGGGTGCACGCGAAACGTCAAGAGTTCCCCCTCTCCTGAGTTCAAGACAGGAGGGGAGGGCCTTTCCACAATGGCGTGCCCCTTCGTGCAGAGAGCGGCTGGATCGAGCCGAGCCCCGAGTCGAGGACACGTGTCCCGCTCGGGCCCATGCTTTTGCCACGGACTAGAGCCGCGAAAGAGCGAGGCGGGAGGGAGAAGGGAGGAAGGGCGGGAGGGAGAAGGGAGGGAAAGGTGAGAAGGGAGGGAGGCTGGGAGGGAAGGAGGGGGGAGAGGACGAGGAGGGACGAGATTGATAAGGAAGACGCCAAGGATACTCAGAGGGCGAGGAGGAAAGGTGAGGGATGAGGGGGGAGAGGAAGACCTCTCTGCGTCTGCTCACCCTCCTCTTCCTTCTCCACTCCTCCATGTCTTCCCACTTCCCATCACCGCCCGACCTTACACCAATCAGTACCCTTCTCCCTGCTGCCGATCTTGCGCTCCTCCTCCTCCTCCTCCTCCTCCGCCTCCTCCTCATCCTCCGCCTCCTCCTCCTCCCTTTAGCCTCTCCTCCCTTCTCCATCCTCTCATCCCTCCCTCCCTCCTCCATCGTTTCCCCCGTCTCCGCCCCCCCCTCTCTCCCCACCCCTCCGAGCACCCCGTCTCTGTCCCCGCCTCCTCTCTCCCGTCCCCTCCCTTCCGAGACTCCCTCTCCCCGAGCCTCCCTCGCGCTCCCCCCCCCCCCCCGCCTCGCGCGGCGGCGAGGAGGGCGAGGACCTCGCCGCCGCCCCCTCCACCCCGCGGAGGCCCCCCCCCGCCCCCCGGGGGCGGCGGTGCCAGCGGGCGGGTCGCGCGCCTCGGCCGTCGAGACGCCCGGCTCGAACATCAGCTCCTCCAGGGTCATCTCGTGCTCCTGCGGGCAGCCCCCCCTATACCCTTCGCCCCTTCGCTCCTCGCTCCTCGCTCCTCCCCTCCTCCTCCTCCCTCCTCCTCCTCCGCCGCCTCCTCCTCCTCCCCCCTCCTCCTCCTCCTCCTCCCCTCCTCCTCCTCCTCCCCTCCCCCTCCCCCCCGCCACCTCCTGTCCTCCTCCTCCTCCTCCACCTCCTCCTCCTCCTCCTCCTCCTCCTTCTCCTTCTCCTCATCCTCCTCCCCGCGCCTCCTTCCTCCATCGCAACCCTACCTTCCTCATGCTCCCCGCTCGCTGGCTTCCGCCCCAAGCGGCGCAACGACGGGTCGTCGCGGGGGCGCCACCCCTAGACAAAAACGGGTGATGGCCCCGTGCCCTCGTGGGCCAGGAGGAGAAAGAGGACGACGAGGAGGAGGAGGAGGCGGAGGCGGAGGAGGTTGATGAGGCGGAGGAGGCGGAGGAGGAGCAGGAGGAGGCTGGACCAGTTTGCCTTCCCGAGCAGTGTTTGAAAACTGCCCCCGGCGGCCCTTGGAGCCTGGCCCGCGAGCCTGAAGACTTCCCAGACAGAACTCCGGGACCCGTCCCCCTCGGGCCCCCCCTTGCTCAAGAAGGGGCTAGAAGGCGCCAACTGTATACATCTGCGCCGGTCCCAGCCAAGCCCATCATGGATCTTCCTGGCCAGGGCAGGAAGGCGTATACACCGATCTAGACACAGGATCGACCTGGCCAGGATCGGTGTGGGTGTATGGTCGTCCTCCTCCTCCTCCTTCTCCTCCTCCTTCCCCTCCTCTCCTATGCATGCCGTTCGCCACAAGCGCAGAGCGTTCGAGGAGGCGTCAAGAGAAACAGAGAGTGTGCCCTACTCTCCTCGCCTCTGCAAGAAACGCTGGCGTTGAGAATCTGGTCCCGCGAGCAGACGAATATGTATGATACGAACACCTGAGGTGAGCAATATAAGTTTCACTACGCCGACCACGCAGACGTGCTCCATCGTTTTTTTGTTGCGTGGATGTCTGTCAATGCAAATGCTGAAACAGAGAGCGAAAAAACTAAGTGAGTTTCACGTGGATGTTGTTAGCCTTCATTCCCGGCCAAAAAAACAGAAGACATTGATTTCGAAATCTGTAACGAAATTCTCCAGGACACTCCGGGCCCATCCGTTTGTTTTCCGAACGAAATGCGCTCTGCGATGTTTGCGCCATGAAAAGTCAGGGTCAAACTAACCGTCAGAGTCAGAATATACCGAGGCGCCCTATGAGGGTCTCTTGGTCCCGTGCCCTATCACAGGAGGCATCCAGGGACCTCTGGAGGGACCTGCTGAGAGGAGGAGGAGGAGGAGGAGGAGGAGGAGGAGGAGGAGGAAGGAGAGGAGGAGAAGAAAGAGGAAGATGATGGATGAGGAGAAGAAAGAGGAGGATAAGGAGAAGGAGGAGGAAGACAGGGTGGGGGGAGGATGAATAATGATCGAGAAACAGAATCCACAGGACGAAGAGGAAGAGGAACTGTAGGAGGACATGAAGAAGGACCAGGGGGAAAAGGGACAAGGCAGGGAGCATGACGCGACAAACATGCAGGCATGATGGTGTGATGAGCGGTGTTGTTGCTGTTGATGGCGACGACGACGGCGACGACAATCACGATGGTGCTGATGATGCTGGTGGTGGTCATGATGGTGATGAAGGTGATGGTGTTGCTGCTGCTGCTGCTGCTGCTGCTGCTGATGATGATGATGATGATGATGATGATGATGATGATGATGATGATGATGATAATGAATGTCACCATCATCATCATGATGGTGATGGTGATGGTGGTGTCGATGATCATGATGATGTTGTTGTTGATGATGATGATGAGAGGGAGAGAGAGAGAGAGAGAGGAAAACAAAAAATAGAGGCGTTGGAGGACAGCGATGTGGATGAGACTTGGGATCGGGGGGGCGCAAGGGAAGAGGCCTGCCTGCAATACTTGCACCCTTCTGTACCGGGGGGGGGAGCACAACAAGAAAGAAGAGGAGGTGGAGGCGGAGGGGGTACTAGGAGAATGAGGTGAAGGAAGAGGAGGAACGAACGGAGAGAAGGAGGAGGAGGAGGAGAAAGAGGAGGTGGAGGAGGAAGCGAGCGTAAGAGAAATCAATGTCAATTGCCATCTACACGGGTTCGCTGCACTCCATGAGAGTCATGTTGATAGCTCCAGAAAAGCGAATGGATGGGGAGGAGGAGGAGTTAGAGGGGGGAGCAAATGGACAAGGAGGAAGAGCAGGAGGAGGTAGAGGGGGAGGCTTCTGCCTCTCTCTGCAAGGGGGCGCGGTGACGGGGAGGGCGCTTGGAGGGAGGCTGCGCCGAATGCAGGAGAACTGGCCACCAGCTCGAAGCTCGAAGGGGTGCGCTGGACGCGGTGCCAACATACAGGGGCAAGTCAAGGGGGAGGGAGGGGGAACTTGGAGTGGGGTCGATGAGAAGCAACTCGCAGAAACAGAAGCATTTCGAGGTCCTCGCGGACCTCCCAGCTGCTGCCTGGCTCCATACGCCTTGTACATCATTCTTCCCTGTCGTACCCCGAGGCCGGTCGAAAAGGCGGGCCAGGCGTTTCGCATGAGACTACGTTACGATTTGCGATCCGGAAGCCTGGAATGCGCAACCGTTTCACGGATGGAGGGCAAGCAGTCTCCAACGTGTGGCTCTCTCGCCTTAGCGCCGCGCACATTCATGATACACGTTGCATGGGCTTCACAGATCGAGGGCGGGTTGTTTGCACATTGCGGATCTCGCCTCAGCGCCGCGCACACTCTCCTTAAGAAATAGCACGAGCTTCACGGATGGAGGGCGGTCCGTTTTCAAAAAGATGTGGCTCTCGCCTTAGCTCCGCGAACATTCGTCTTCAAACGTGCAAGAGCTTCACGGATAGAGGGCGGTTCCTGTTCGAACTGTCGCTGTCGTCTTAGCGCCGCACACATTCGTCTTGGGAGTTTGCAACAATGTAAAAGACTCTCAAGGCTAACGTTCCAGGACTGGTGTTTTGGCACGATGCCGGAAAGTCAGGGCGCAACAATTACATTGATTCGCGGTGTTAAAATCCGAGGAATTGCGGTCTGGCGCGATTCAGGATCGTCAAGACGCAGCAGTAACAGTGATTCGCGGCGTTGAAGTCCCAGGAGGGGTTTTCTGGCGCAATTCCGCATTTTCAAACGGCTGTCTTGCAAAGAGGCATTTCCCTCAATAAAGATGAACCCTTGAAGGGGCCTGTGAAGAAGGAGCTTGGAGGAAGGGTGTGTTGCAACATCGCTGATGCGATTTGGGGTTTGCAATGGTGGTCCTCCTCCTCCTCGTCCTCCTCCCCCAGCTTCTCCTCCCTCCTCCTCCTCCTCTTCCTTCTCCTCCTCCTCCACCTCCACCTCCACCTCCACCTCCTCCTCCTCCTCCTCCTCCTCCTCCTCCTCCTCCTCCTCTCCTCCTCCTCCTCATTCTCCTCCCTCCTCCTCCTCCTCCTCCTCCTCCTCCTCCTCCTCCTCCTCCTCCTCCTCCTCCTCCTCCTCCTCCTCCTCCTCCTCCTCCCCGCGCGTCGCCGGGCCGCCTCGGCGATGCTGGCGGCCTCGGACTTCCAGCGAACGGGCGCCTCGCCGCCGTCGTCGGGCTCGGCGGTCGTGCCTCTGGGCTCCTGGTCGAAGGCAGCGGGGGGGAGAGGAGAACGGGGCAGGGAGGGGGCGAGGGCTTAGTGGGCCCTGGAAACGACAGGGCCGTTTTGTTACCCGTTCCGTTTTGCCGTTTTTGTCGCCGGTTCCGACGCCGTTTTTTTACCGGTTCCGTCGCCGTTTTTTGACCGGTTCCGGTTCCGTTCCTATCCTGGAGCCGTTTTTTTGCCGGTTCCGGTCGCCATTTTTTTGCCGTTTCCATTTTCAGGGAACACCTTTCTGGAAACAGTGAAAAAAGGCCCTGCCGTTTCCGGGGCCCACAAAGGGCGAGGGGGAAGGGGGTGGGCGGGGGGCGGTCGTCGGAGAGCTGCGCGGCAGGTTCGAATGCGGGACGGAGGAGGGTTCAGGGCTGAAAGAGGTGTGGATGGCATTGTCGTAGAGATGCACTGGGCGAGGTGAAGAATCATCGGTGGGTGTTGAAAGCTATTTGTGCTGGTGTCCAAAAACCTCTTCCCGCCTCCGACACTCCAGCCCGTCTGAGGCGTGCACCAACAATGTGTTGGAGGACATTTGCTCTCAACCCGCAGACCTGGACGAAGAACGGCAAGCGGTGGGCGCGGGCGCGGGCACTCCGTCTCCCGGGGCACGCCGGCCCGAATCGTCATGCGGCGACGCCTGCGTTGCCATGTGGAGAGCCATGTGGGATAATACGGGTTCGCCTCTCCTCTGTTGCCCCCCCTGGTGCGACGCGACGCACGGCTGGTGACATCCGGACGGGGATCACTCCTCAAATGCTCAGAACTTGCAAGCTGAACCCTGGCCGCAGACACCGCCTGCCAACGCGTGCGTTTCAGTGTGTAGCTAAACGTGGGATAGTCCTCGTTCGATCACGCTGGGTGGGCACGCGACTTACCAACCAGCCGACCAACCAAGCAACCAGCAAATCCAACAGCTTGCCAACCAACCGGCCAAACAACCAACAAACCAATCAACCAACCAATCGGGCAAACAACCAACCAACCAATCCGCTCACCAACCAACCAAGCAGACGGCCAACATTTTCAAAGGACTTATCACACGGCGGCCCAGGAGTGAATATCTCAGACAGAAAATCCTTTCTTACCCTGAAACAAATGATGTTGGCCAGCGGGGAGCCCGAACACGAACTTGTTACACTTTGAATGCGCATGCTTTGTGATGCAACCATTCGGTGTTAGCAATGTGGTGCAAGCTATGGCGGCGCAAGCTGTGTGTTGCAAGCTCGTCGGTGCAATATACATGGTGCAATATGCGTGGTGCAAGGTGCGTGATCCAAAACATGTAGTGCATGCGGTGCTGTGAGCTGTGTTGTGCAGTATACGTGGTGCCAGAAATGTGGCGTGATCTATGTGATGCATGCTAGGTGACGCAAGTTATGTCGTGTATGCAACGAGGTGCAAGCTGCACAGTGCACCCGATGTTGTGGAATATACGTGCTTAAATCTACGTAGTGCAAGCTATGGTGTGAAACTTATGTGGTGCAGTCTGCGTGGTGTGAGCAACGCGGCGTAAATTGTGTGCTGCGGCGACGGACGGGAAAAAGGCCGCTGGGCTCGCCGGCGAGGGTTTGACTGGGAAAGATGGGCGGCGACGGACGGGGACGGAACCGCTGGACCCGCAGACGGGCCTGGTTCCGCAGAAGTCAAGCAAGAAGCCCTAAGCGCAAGCACCATGTGGGCAAGAATCAGCCTGAATTCCAAAACGCATTTAACTCTTCGAATCATAACTGTTCCGCGCTCCAGCGTTGCCGCGTGACGAGGAGGTTGGAATTATATGTAGTCGTCCCCCTGCGTTGTCACACGCCGACTAAAATAATATGTGACTGCCCCCCTGCGTTGCCTCGTGGCGGATCGAGCGGATCCGTATGTGTTCGCTCCTCTGTGTTGCCACGCGGTGAGCAGAGTACAATCGCATTAGTTCCGCCCTACGGCAAAGTAGTATGTGTTCCGCCCATGCCCCCTGCGTTGCCATGTGAGGGATCATGATGCGCATATGTTTCGCCCTTCTGTGCTGCCACGTGGCAAGCAAAATGGAACCGTATGGTGTCCGCCCCCCCTGCATCGCCACGTGACGAATCAAGAAAATTGTCGTTTATCAGCCCCTTTCCATTGCAGCGTGACTTGTAGGGTAGATTAGTCTTTGTTTCGCAGGTCTACGCTGCCACATGGCGACTCACATGGAATCGTTGTGTCGCCACCGGGGCCCCTCCGTTGCATCGTGACGACAGACAGGAGCTGGTAGTGGTTTAACCTCCCTGCAATGCCCCGCGGCCGCGGCGGGCGCAGCGGAGTGAATGTGTTGTGTCCGCCATCTTTGCCGTGCGACAGATCTGGTGAACTGGTATGCTTTCCGCTCCTCCGTTGCCACGTGGCGCGCAGCATGGATGTGTCTTTGCTTCGCTACCTTGTGCTACCACGTGGCGGAGATAGTAGAGTAGAGCTATTCCAAGCTCAGGGTTACACGTGTTACATAGGTTTAGGAGTTGCGATGTAGGGAATCATGGCTGCGAATCTGGTGTTTGCCCTAGGTTGGATGTTTTGGAGTAGGGATACGGTGTTCGGTTCAGCGTGTAAGGGTTTGGGAGGGAGGGCGTCTTTTTAGGCTGTGTGCTCAGAAGAAGGGTTCGGCTAGTAGGGATGGGGGTAAGGTTGCAGTGCTGCGGTAAGGGTTTAGGCGGTAGGGATATATTTAATGTCCGACCACCCGACCGACCAACCAACCAACCGATCCACCAACAAACCGACCGAGCAACCAGCCAACCAAACAATCAACCAAACAACAACAAATTAACAAATCAACCACCCAACCAGTCAACTAACCAAACGGCCAACCAAACTACCAACCAATCTTCAACTGGAATAGTTGTTGACACACTGCAAAGAATCCGCCACCGTGCCTGCAGCACGTTGTGAAGTGCCCGAAGGCTCATGCAGGCCTGAGAAGTTCAGAGTTGTAGGGTTCTATAAAAGGTTTCCAAGGATTTCCAGGGCTTTCGAACATTTCAAAGGATTCCCCAGGATTCCCCGGGCGCGTCGCGCGCGTCCTCAGGTAGCGCAGCCGGCCAAACATGTGCCCAAAAAGCGCCCAAGAGGGCCGAAGATACCTCCGAGAAGGCCCAAGAGTGTCCCAATATGCCCAAGATGGCCTCAACACGGCCCCAGAGGCCCCGAAGACGTCCCAAGAGTGTTCCAAGAGACGTCCGAGAGGGCCCCAAGAGGCAAAAATCATTGATGTGCTTGAAAATCTTTGGTCTTCTCGCCTTGTCGGCTTCCCGACGCTCCAAGACGGCTCTCGAAGCCCCCAAGATTGCCCCAAGAGGGCCCCAAGAGGGCCCCAAGACGGCCCAAGAGGGCCCCAAGACGGCCCAAGAGGGCCCCAAGACGGCCCAAGAGACGCCCAAGACGGCCCAAGAGGGCCCACAGGGCCCAAAGATGGGGCCCAGATGGAGAACCCGAATGAACATTTCGAGCCCTCGGGCCCGAGGGGCCCCCAAGAGGCCCCAAGATGCTCTCAAGAGGCCCCAAGAGGCTGCCAAGAGGCTCCCAAGAGGCCCCAAAACTGATTCCAAAAGGCCCCCGAGAGCGCCCCGAAGAGACCCGGAGAAGCATCCCTGAGAACTCTGACCCAAAACCAAGGCACGGTGGCGGGATGGGCCGAAGGCCATTTGATTCGTCGCCCCTGTTGATTGATCACAGGGGTGCCTGGCGTGTTGAGGTAGACCGAGTGACCTCGAAATCCCGAGGGATCTCACCACACGCTCCGTCGCCGCACAGTTGACCCGAGTCCCGAAACCGTGCGGCCACCCCGAATCAATCCCCGCTGGCTCACCACGCGGTGTGGTCGCGCTACGTGTCTGGGGACACCCGCACCTCGGCCGGGGGCTCGCAGCACTGGCACACGCCCCCCTCCCGCGCTGGAGACCAGAGCCGAGCCGACATCGGCTGCTGCACGCAAGAGCAACCCTAGGCAAGAGGAGTGACCTTTGTGGTAGGTCTAGAGGTGGACACCAACACCAACATCGGCGGTGTGCTTCCACTGTGGGAAGGTGCTCCCGATCTCGGCGATGGCGGTAATATTTCGGCGTCCTGGGTGGCCTAGGTACTGCCACCAACACCGAATTCTAGGATCATCCTTCCCCCTGTTGAGGCAAGCCCGTGTGTTGGTGTTGGTGCCCATTTCCAGGCCTCCAACTTTGGTGCGCGGCTGCTGCGGGACGCGGGGAGGCCCAACACCCGAGCGCGGAGGCCGCTGCTATATCGCATCGCTCTCCGCGGTCGGGGGGGCCCCCAGGGGCCCGCACCAGGTCACGTCAGTGAAGGGTCACTTTTGCGTGTAGTCGACGACTGTAGGCCTCGCGGGCGCCGGCCTGGCAAAGGGATCGGCCTCGTGGAGCAGCAGCGGCCGAGAGGGCGGCCCAAGCACCGAGAGGAAGCCTCGGTGCGCCCGCGCCGCACGTGCGGGGGCGCTGGTTTTGGGAGGAGGGAGGCCAGAGGAGGGAGGGGACTCACCTCCGCGGAAGGCACCACCGCGTCGGGGCTCGCCAGACGGGGGCATGGCTCCACGGGGGCACGGGCGGCTCCACATGCCCCCGTTTACTGTGCCCCCGTCTGCGAAGCCCAGGGCCGCCGAAAAAGAGGCATAGCCAAACGTAGACATCGGCGTTCCCCGTGCCCCCGCGCGCTGCGACCCCATCGCCAGCGCCCGGACTGTCCCCAGCGGGGGCCATCCTGGGCCCCACCATGGCATGTATGCCCTCCTGGCCGAGGCCAGACATTGAGCAGGGACCGACCGTCTCGGCATTACTATAGGCCAGAACCCAAACATGTTGTCTAAGAACAAAAACGATGCTCTTATAACATAAACCCGATGTGTTAAAACGAGGCAGTCCCAGCCACAAATGTTCTGAGAGCATTTCGCGCGAACCACACAAGGTTCCTAGCACACTGTCTGGTAGGCCTATAGGCACGCCAGGACGCTCCGCCACTGC